GCAAATATGAGCTTGTAATTACTGAATGCGAGATCGGGGAAGAATGTGTAGTGCTTCCAAATAACCTTGAGGATTTGTGGATAATTGAGGGTAGAAACATGAGAAGCAGCTTAAACAAAACAGTTACGTTAGAAATGGAAGCAAATGAGTTGAGACGGTGCTGTATTTGGGATTGTGAAGAGATAGAGTGCGTGGTTGAGTTGGACTCATCTTCCTCTTCCTCATTGTGTTGTCCAGTACTTGATAAGCTTGAACTGCTGCAACTTTGGACATTGCCTAAGTTATGTGAAGTTGTGAGAGCGGAAGGAGCGGCAACACCATCGCACATCTTTTCCAATCTTAAAACACTTATAATAGAAGATTGTCCAGGAATGAGGAAATTGCTTCCACCTGAGCTACAACAGGCCTTCCAAAACTTAGAGGAGATTGAAGTTGGTAACTGCAAACAAATGGAGGAGATAATAGCATCATCAGATTCATATGCATCATCGGATAAATTCACTTTTCCCAAGTTAAGGAGATTGTGCTTGTGGTATTTACCCCAATTGAAGAGCATCTGCAGTGCCAAAGGAGTTATGGTTTGTGATTCTATTGAAAAAATTCAAATATCGAGATGTCAAGAGTTAAAGAGGATCCCAGTGCAACTTCCCCTACTTGATAATGGCCAACCATCTCCTCCTCCTCATCTCAGAGAAATCAACATGGATAAAGACTCCAAAGAATGGTGGGAATCAGTGGAGTGGGATCATAAGAACCTACTTCACCCTTTCTTGAAATATTTTCCCTGGTGATTAAGAGGTAAGGTGTTGATTGATTAAGTATTCAATTTCTAATTTTAAGAATGTTAATTTTATTTATTTATTTTATCTGTTTTCCAATTCCTCTTCTATCATTGCAATCTAGACGAAAGGAAACAATTTTTGTTGATTTGAAAGGAATAAACGATCACGATCTAGAGTAAGAAATCATCAACTTAAAGTTCCATTGATTTGGTGTCATAAACGATCACGATCCAGGATTTGGTGTCATAAACTCCAAGTAGTGAGTATTGATTTCACTCTGTTCATTTTCTATCTGTATCTATATTTCGATCCTAAATTAACTTTCAAAATTAATATTATGATTGACCTGCTTCCATAATAATATAACATGGTTTGTAGTTTCTTTTATCTTATATTGCATATGGTCTCATTCTGAACAATTTTTCTAAGTTCAATTTTTACTTTTATCTAATATTTGCATATTCACATGGGAGGTGCAGGTTCATTACCAAATATATGGGTTTGGGATTCTGCAAAATCAAAATCCAGTTGTGCACTAGAAGACGTAAGAATTCAATTTTGAGTTCCAATAATTCATTTCCTTAAACCATAAGCGGTAGAAGTAGAGCATCATTGCCTAAATTGATTAATTCTTACATGCGTTTAATATATTATAAACCAAACTTAATAATTACAATCTGGGATTCACATTACTGGAGTGATTTTGATACTTAATTTCTTCTAAGGACTGTTCACTGATTTTATCCTTTCTTTCTTTTGTTTATCTACTTCTTAAAACACTTATAATAGACTACTGTTCAGGAATGAAGAAATTGCTTCCACTTGAGCTACAGCAGGCCCTCCAAAACTTAGAAGAGATTAGAGTTTGGAATTGCAAACAAATGGAGGAGATAATGGTATCATTATATTCAGATGCATCATCAAATAAATTCACTTTTCCCAAGTTAAGAATATTGCTGTTGGCTTATTTACCCCAATTGAAGAGCATTTGCGGTGCCAAAAGAGTTGTGGTTTGTGATTCTATTGAAGTAATTGTAGTATTCGAATGTCAAGAGTTAAAGAGGATCCTTGTGCAGCTTCCCCTGCTTGATAATAGCCAAGCATCTCCTCCTCCTCGTCTCAGAGAAATCAGGATAGATGAAGAGTCAAAGAAATGGTGGGAATCAATGGAGTGGGATCATCCTAATTCTAAGAACCTCCTTAACCTTTCTTGAAACATTCTACATATTCGTGGGATTGAGGTGTTGAATGATTTACTACTATTTAATTCTAATTTGAATTTGATTTGATAATATGTTACAGTAAGTTGCTGAAAATTTGGGAAATAGTTTGTGTAATGTGAAATGAAGAGCTATAAACTGCAAAATGCAAAAGGAGTTGTTAAGTAGACAAATCGTAACTTTCCAAAAATTAAAGTCACATGCCACCTCAATAACTAGTGCCAATAAAAGCAATTTTGCGATTCATTTATTCCCTCCCCAACAAAAACGATTGGGTATTCTAGAAGAGAAAGAGATCAATGTTTCTGAGATGGAAACCTTAAGTGTGTATATTCTGGAAAACAAAAACTCCAACCAGCAAGTGTTTAGATTTCACTATCTCTATTTTGATTTGATTGTAACTTTATTTAGTATTTTTGTTTAGATTCATATTCCACTTTTCTCTTTTACCAAGATAAAAAAATGTAGGTGATAAGGTTGTTTAATATATGTGGTTGGACGAACATTAATATTATTTTTTTATATATTTTTATTTAACCTTATTTAGACCGTCTTTTAAAAAAAAAAATTCTATCATTTGCAATCTTGTGTTATTTTAGTTGTTGAAAGAAACAATTTCTGTAGTTCCAGAGAAATCATCAACTTTCTGAATAAATCACAAGCCACCCCTAATGGTAGAAAGACTGGTTGAAAAATTATGTGCTGAGTTGAAGAATCAAACCTCAAAGAAAGTGTTAGACATCCAAACACTAGGTATTTTGACTTGACTATTCCATTTCACTCTCTTCATTTTCTTTTGCTTCTTAATTTCTATGTATCATGAGGGTTTTATTGA